GTTAAGAAAACATATGAATGTGTCACGTACGAAATATTAGAATATATATCTTTGGTTTATATTATCATAGGGCATGTTCTCTTCTTTAAGTGAGACAGAAAGTACAGAAAATGAAAAGGAACAGAGGTATTTAAGTTCAGAAAGATAACCAGACGAATATCATACGCATTTCTCAAAATATAACATTTGAAACTGCCAGAATAAAAGCACGTAATAAGTCTGAAAAGCAAGAAGGCCTTTTAACAAGAGAAAAATAGGTTTTGTCTTTGAGGAAGGAGGTGAGAGATAGTTCTTGGGAAAAAAAATGCATCATCTATTTTCATTACTTAGTAGTGTAATGACACAAAGCATTTTACTGTTTTGAATGCCATACAATTATCACAACACAAAAATTCCATTTGGAGGGTATCAAAAGCAAACACACATACACACACACACACACACACACCACAAACGTATTTCTATGAAGCAGAATGCGCTTTCATAGTAGGTGCTGTTTCCATTGTTTGTGACAAGTTTAGCTTAGGATTATGAGGAAGACTTCTTGAATGGGCTGGATATCCTCAAAGAGGAGCCAAGAAGGATCTGGGGAAATGGGCTTAGGTAATGATCTGATCAAGATTTATGTTTAGGGTCCTTATGATCAAAGAGGGGATGTGACCCTCCCTCATGACCCTGCCCCTGAGGCATAACTGCAGAATCAGACTCCACACTATAGTTTGAAAATCATTGGTTAGAGTGACTGGCAAGGAAGCCAGGCTTCTCTAGTCAAAGATGGAGCCCCTTTCCTGGTAAAATTTGGTGACCTCATGCCAATCCTCAAAATTTCTCTTGGTTATTTTCAATAAAATAATGTGGAATGCAAAAGTATGGGGCCCACTGACTATGTGAATATATCTCAGACAAACTGAAAGTGTAGCAGAGAAATAATTAGACGTTAAAAAGAGGAAGAGGGATACATCGTTTATAGGATGTTTGTAAGATACTTAGGAAATATAGTCCATTAGCCACTGATATTCTAGAGTTCACACTTGCCCCAAAATCAAGGTGAGGAACTAGGAGGGAGCTCTAACAGATTGGGTGTTTCTACCTTCCTTTTCTTTCCTCTCTTCCCTGCCATCTTCCCCCTCAACTGTTCATCTACTGATTCCGTTCATCCCCTGATTCACTTAGTATTCATTTGATAACTGATAAGGGTCAGGAACCAAGCTGGACACTAGAAATGAAGCAAAGAATAAGTGAGACATGCCACAGTTGCCACTAATTTTACACTTTTCTAGGGGGGGAAAGTGACATTAAATAAAAAAGTATCCAGAAATCCATGCGCTATGGGAACATAAAGGTATTTTCGTCTAGTTACAAGTTCCAGGGAAGGCCTTCATGAGGAAATAAAATTTAAACTTAGATTGACAGGGTGAGGAGAAAAGGAAGAGAGAGGGCTGGGCAGGTGGCAGGTATGCGAGCAGTACTCCAGGCAAGGGAGCAGATATATAAAAGCCTATAAGTGAGAAAATCAATGAAGACCAGTGTTACACTGATACAATGATATTAAGATTTCTTCTAGTTTTATAACTTTTCCACTAGATGTTATTTCATTACTCTATCCTTTTCATCATTTTTTTTCATGAAGCAATACAACACTAAGGAAAAAGTATTCACAGAGGTTAACTTTTTTCAGAGATAGCAAGGTAGTGGGAAAACTAGAATTAACTTTTACTTGAGAGCTGGCTAGGGATACAGAATAGAAACTAAGTGAGGGATTACAGGTAGGTGTGTCTGGGAGAGAGTAGCATATATCATGAGGGCAATAAGGAAAAATATGGAATTTCTTCTGTGGCCACACATATTCTTTGTTCTCCCCCTGACATCCCCCCGCCCCATGCAGTTAATGGATTTGAAAAGAGGGGGAGGGTCCACAAATATTCTAGTAATTATCCATTTCCAGGATGAAAATTAGATTTTATCCCATATGCCAACCCCCCTTTGACTGGTTGCTTGGAGCTGGAGCACCGAGCTGAGAAGTATTCTGGGGCCTGATGTTAGCAGGAAAGGGTACAATTAGTACAATTACCAATAGCCCTATTTATGGAAGCGGGGCAAGGCAGCAAGCATGCTGTGTGTTTCCTTGTCTAATCCAGATCACTGAGGGGCACCTAATTTGAACTGGTAACTTCCTGGCTGTAAATGCCAATGCTGCTGGATTTTCCCTATCATTTGCTCATTTAAAGAACCTTCCTAGTATAAAGTCCTACTCTTATGTCTTTGGCATCCAAAATTCCCTTCTTCTGTTTAGTAATAGAGCTTTCCTCCCTGTCAACCACATGTTAAAAGGCACACACATGGCCACCCAGCTTAAGACTACATTTCCCAGAATACTTAGAATTTAGCTGTGGCCACATGGCAATGTTCTAACCAATGGAATGTATGCAACTTCTGCATCACTTACATAAAAAGAAATCTTTTTTTTTTTTTTCTTTCCTCGTGGCAGGAAATGTGAACAGAGCATTGGCGAACCAACTCTGACCAAACAGACTAATATAAAACATGAGAAGACTTAATGTTAGAGCAATAAGGTGGTCAAAGAAGCTGTGGTCTCAGCCACTCCCATGGAGCAGTGTTTCCTTCCTCCCCTGACTGCCCGCCTCCTTCTGTATTACAACAGGAGATAGAAATAAGCCTCTCTCTGGTTGGAGCTTCAGTATTTTTAGGTCTCTGTTACCGTAGCTTAGCCAGAACCCAACTAATTTACAAACTCAAGGGCACACAGGGACCAGGAAGTCCATATAACCCAGTAATCATCTAAATGACTGCTCAAGGCTGAAGAACAAGTGCACTATGGAAAGCAGCAGCCACCTGGGAACGCAGGCCTAGGGCTTCCAACCCTACTAATTTATCAAGAAATCTAGATTCGCAGATCTTACACTATCATTATCTTACAATATTGTTAACAATATTGGCAACTAATCCAAACTTAAAAAACAAAACAAAACTGCGGGTTAAACAAAAATGCCTCTGTGTCAGACTCAAGTCTATGATGGCCAGTGTATGACCTGTTCTAGATTACAAGACAGCATTGAATCGAAAACACACAAATACACCATCATCCTAAGAACTGCTTTTTTTAGCGGGGGGGAATAAATTTCCCCCCAAATACACTGACTGCCAGGTAGTCCCTGATATCAGAGATATTAGAGGTCAAAAAAAACCTGGCATATTTTTAGGATTGGAAAAATTAATGTTTTTTAGGACACAATCCTGAATATGAGAAACATTCCAATTCATGATGATGACAGTGTAACATAATGAGCCAGAATTCCTCAATCACCCTCAACTCTGCAGCAGGAAGTAGCTCATAAAGCCTGTAATAGCTACAGCCCACACAGTTACTAGATGATAATGAACTCAAATATCCCACCTCCATTTGACTGTCTGTGCTACTAGTAGTGGCCTTTTATAACATATCTTTTTCTTCATTTCAATGTTGTGTAGCCACTCAAAAAGGCACTTTACAGTGGATTGATTCCACGTTATCTGAACTTAATAATTAGGCAAAATAAATGCTTGACACAAACATATTTAGCTAATAATTTTCACTATGAAGTCATTTCAGCCATATCACTACCTTGTAACCCATCAGGATCATCAAACGTAAACTTATTTCTGAGTTACCAAACAATTATGAGGAAAACATTTATAACATCTTCCCCAAATATCTAATTATACGTCCCATTGCTGGGTTTGTCTTGTGTTGTGTTTTATATCAATAAGCATAGGCACACAAACATCAGTGTGAGGGCAGTAAGGCTGTGACATAATACAAAGCATTCTAGAATACCCCCCAGTTCTGTGGCATATGATGCTCCCTGGCTCCCTGACCAATGTTAGAGTCAGAATGTGGCTGCAAAGCTTTGTCTGAACCCGATGCTCCTTCCTAGGTAGTCCTCTGAAAGTCACATCCGGTGACTGGTTCTGAAAGGGCACTATAGAGTATGATGTGTCTCCTTCTCATACTGGACCATTCCCTGAACCTCAATGGCACTGCCCTAGACCATGATTATCTGTTTTTGTTTGTTTGTTTGTTTGTTTGTTTTAAGTAGGCTCCATGCTGGGCGTGTAGCCCAGGATGGGACTTGAAATCACCACCCTGAACTGAGATCAAGACCTGAGCTGAGATCAAGAGTTGGGTGCTTAACCAACTGAGCCACCTGGGCAGTTCCATTTACTTTTTAAATGACTCAATTTATAGAGGAAATGAAACATTTATAATTCACTTTTCAAAATGGGTCATATGACTTAAATAGTAAGAATCAAGACACAAATAAGGAATTTCAAGTTTCCTTATTCCTTAAAAGACTTTCATGGAGCATCTGGGTGGATCAGTCAGTTAAGCGTCCAGCTTCGGCTCAGGGCATGATCTCGCGGTTTGTGAGTACAAGCCCAGCGTCGGGCTCTGTGCTGACACCTTGGAGCCTGGAGCCTGCTTTGGATTCTGTGTCTTCCTCTCTCTCTGCCCCTCCCCCACTCACATTCTTGTCTCTCTCTCAAAAATAAATAAACATTTAAAAAAAAAAAGGACTTTTGGGAGCCTGGGTGGCTCAGTGGGTTGAGCGTCCCACTTTCAGCTCAGGTCATGATCTCACGGCTTGTGGGTTCAAGCCCCACATCGGGCTCTGTGCTGACAGCTCGGAGCCTGAAGCCTGCTTCAGATTCTGTGTCTCCCTCTCTCTCTGCCCCTACCCCTCTCACGCTCTGTCTGTGTCTCTGTCTCTCTCTCTCTCAAAGATAAATAAATGTCAAAAAAAAATTTTTTTTTTTTAAATTAAAAAAAATAAAAAAATAAAAAAAAAAGGACTTTGATTCATTCTGCTGAGAGTATGCATTCAGTCCAAGGAAGCTCACTACTATGTATATTAAGTTTAAATTTGGCCTTAATCTTTTTTGGTATTTATAAGTTTACACCAATTGTTTCTGTAGCTTTCTGTTGTTGTTTGTTTGTTTACCTCTTCGTATATTCCAGTGCATTCATAGTAGTCTCTGGAAGGGAGGCCAAGTCGAGGCTGATCAATCTGTAAAAAATATACCAAGAAGAAAATAAACCATTCAGTTGATGTGGGACAGTTGGACAAAATACAAGCATGTCTATCTCTGTATGAGCAAGAGCCTAGTGTTCTTGCTGTTTATAAGGGTAACAACAGTCAGACAATGAGTGAATACAAATTAGGCACTGGTTTCCATACTACTTGGCAGTTTTACAGTGATGGGTAGTTAGGTAATCTGGAAGAGTATGCTGCAGGTATTTGAGGAAAACCAAAGAAACTTGAATGAAATACACCAGGAAGAATTTTTTAATGCAAAACCAAAGGTGCAGGTGGACAAAAACATGTTAGAAGCTAAGACTTGGAAGTTTCTAAATTACACATTTACAGGACATTTGGCTTCCTGAGATTCTAATATGCTCTCCTGGAAGACATTCTCTTCTCCCACCCTTAATGGGGATGAGAAAAAACCAAAAAAGTGGAAACCTCTGTGGTAACTCTACAACTGTTTCTCTAGTGGAAATCTTGCCAGAGATTTTTTTTGAGATTCCCTACCCTGGGGGTGGGGGGTAGGGGAGACTCCTCCTCGGTTCTCTCCTGCTCTGCTCAACACTTGAGCAGACCCAGCTGACAGCAGAGTGTGTGAAAGAGGAAACTAGTTTCTGCTCGAGTGTGTCTGGTCCACTGGACCACCTGGAGAGCCACCTGGACACATGTGCAGCTTTGCGAGATTGCTTCCTATGCACCGCGTGGTTTGATGGGTACGGGGCAAACTAGGGCATGTATGGGTTAAAGTGAGAAACCCAGCAGCTGTAAAGAGCCCAGGACAATACAAAAGAAACAGAACCCAGAGGATTAGCATGGAAAGAGCCAGAAGGTGTCACCACAGATAGGGCTCTGCCCCCTTTCCAACCTCCCCACTCTCCCTAGGAAATCTCTTCATGGTGATCATGCAGAATGCTGGTACTGAAGAGCCAAAGGAGTGAATTCCAGAAGGGAGAAGGGGGCCCACTGTAGAAGACAGCTGGGTTCAATTCCTTTCATGATTTTAATAAAAATGGCCATAAAGATTTATACAACAGTGACATAAATATGAATCTGTGTCTTGCAACTTTTGGGGTACTTTCTTTCACAGGAGACCAAAAACAAAGCTCTGTAAATATTTTAGTCCATTCCAAACACACTCATTAAGTATTAATTTCATCTTAGGTGACACCTTAAGTAAACCTAAATGAATGGCTTACATGAGGGGGAAAAAATCTAAAACACCGATTTTAAAAGAACAGTATTTTATTTGCCTTCACTGAGAAAAAAGTTCAGATATTCTTTAGTAACAGCCAAAACTGTACTCAAAATCCTTTTCTCAAAAAACAAACAAAAAACCAAAAAAAACCCCACTCCCCCACCCCCAAATCCCCCAAATCCCTTTTCTGTGTCCTTTTGGGAAGCAATTGGAAATTTCTGGTTTCCAGATTTGCATTACTCATGTAAACCAAACTATGCTCCTTTCATGAACATATGGAGAAATCAGGTGCTGTTTCAAATTAGGGGGCCCTTTCATTTCTTTAATTTATTTTATGAAGAAAGCAGTATCAAACCTAAGGTAGCAGAAGGGAGACACGACCACAGCATTAAGAGAATACTTTCAAAATTGGGAATCCAGGTTTCAGGGACAGAGTACAAATTTATTACTATCTTGCTCATGCAATTCAAATGAGAATATGCATTATTTCTAAATACCAACAACAACAATGTATGCAGAAATGTTATTAACAATTTAAAGCTAACTTGGCTGTCAGCCCACAAACTTACATGAATTATATGGTTCACAGAGTTCTTATCATCAGTGCCAACAAAAAAATTAAGAATGACTTTTTTCCCAAATTTAGAATTCAGCTGTGCAATAGATTTCTCAGCTGTCCAAGAAGGACCTAAAGCAAAGAAAGGTGAAGAATACTTTTAAAAGTTTCAGTGCATTAATGTGATACTATAATAACATAGATTCTATATGGAAATTACATTTTTAAAAAAGAATGAAAATCACCTTACCATAGGTCTGCTCCCAGTTGTCTGTTGCTACGGGCCAATCATATATATCTGGTAGTAGACTGAGTAGAGGTTTTCCGCCTCTGCTATCAATAGCGGCTTTTGGAAACAATGAAAACAAATTCCTTATGAAGTCTTTGCATATTTTGGCACTCTCTTAATGAAATACAAGGAAGAGCACTTACATTCATTTATACAAGATCTGTACAGTGTTTTTGCTTTCTGCACTGCTATTATATCTTCAGTTTTGGGTTCCTGAAGAACATCTGAAATAGAGCATGGAGTACAACCCATCAATGCAATTGCTCATTTGCAGCTGTAATTAACATTTGCAGTGCAGGTTCAGAAAAAAAGCTTGCTTTTGTGTATGTATGTTCACTCCCTCCCCATGCTAAAACCCTCCAGGAAAAACTAAACCCCCTACCAGATCATTATTCCTAGTGCAGAACTGGGAGTTGATTTCATTAGCCAAGTTAGATGAAAGTCTTTTTGACTAGATTCTCTTTTTTTGTGAACAATGACGTGTACTGCTCTGCCATACATAAGTTCCTGTTTTTTTTAAATTAAGATGAAAAAGAAATAATAATGCAGAGGAATATGGAATTTAATATGATAGTCTTCTCGATAGCTGGAAATAATTATCTTTGTGTGATTGTACTGTTCATGCTCCAGATGAATTGAATGAATTATTCTACTTGTTTGGATGTTCTAAAATAGCAAAAATTGTTTTTCTACAAAGTAACTTCTAGAAGTGGGGAACAGAAGACAGAGGATAGCAGAAGACTAGACAAGACTTCCTCAACTTCCCAGGGAGAGTATCTTAGCTGGGTTAGAATAAATACCCACCCAGGGATATAAACGTCAGTAACATCTTCAATACAGTAATGGCTCAATATCGACATCAACCCAGGGCCAGGGTGGGAAAATAGAATGGAGGTGGTGTTTGGTGGCAATCAATTAACTCATTTAAAATTTTTTTTAATGTTTATTTTTGAGAGAGGGAGACAGAGAGGCAGAGCCAGGGGGACAGAGGATCCCAAGCGGATCTGTGCTGACAGCAGTGAGCCGATGTGGGGCTTGAACTCTTGGACCACGAGATCATGACCTGAACCAAAGTTGGAAGCTTAACTAACTGAGCCACCCAGGCACCCCAATTAATTTCTTATTGTGTGAAATGGCATAAGATGCCACCCTGTAGAGAGGACAGATTTTGTTGTATGTGTACCCACAAATGAAAGCAGGAATGCTGAGATGCCAACATATCCATTTCAGCGTTACCACCCTCAGAGAGACTTGGTGGTGAGCCACAAAACTTGGAGGGATTATCGGCTTTAATCTTCTGTGACATTCTCTGTAATGGCTAAGAGTTGTATCTTTAAAAAATGGATATATTAAGAGAGAAATCTTTGATGCGTAGACACAAACTCCACTAACCTTTCAAAACGACTTCTAGTTCATCTCTTAAAATGTCAAAGTTACTGTAACGGGAGCTGGTCTCAGGAATGACGTTGCGTTTCAACCAGCCTCCACAGGCATATTTAAAAAAGTCTGTACAAGGCTCAGCAGTGGCATCCATGTTCTGGATCAGTCGAGCAGCTGAAAGACCAGAGAATGAACGAGATCAAATGAAGGGTGCATTTCTTAAGTAGTTTGGAAGGGGGGAAAAGAGGCATGTTATTTCTCCTTTATGATCAAGTCAACTGCACTGATGCTCCTTTTTCTTACTTCTCTAATGGTCAATTGAGGAGGAATGATGACTCTTATCTATGTATAGTCCTCCCTCCCTTTGTTAGAGTTGGTTAGGTTTATTCCTGACAGGTCTCGGTCTTCCCATCCTACATCCCACCCCCACCTCCAAATAACTGAGGTTCTTGCTAGCTCCTATCTCAGATGACAACAAAGAACACAGGTCTGCCTTACCAGGCCTGAACCTGGGGCTGACACAGGCGGCTCTTCACTCTATTAATTTTAGCGGCTGACTCTACTTTTCAAATTTCTGTGACTTTCGAATGTCTCTGAGACTCTAAGGGAAGTGGGATTGTTCTTTGTTTTTTTAAAGTAATCTCTAAACCTAATGTGAGGCTCAAACTCACGACCCTGAGATCAAGCGTCTCATGCTCCACTGAGGGGAGCCAGCCAGGTGCCCCTGTGGGACTGTTAATGCATTTTATCACTCTACTATTACTACTTCTTGGACCTCGCTCACAATATTTTTGCAATTCAAATTTGACATCCGATTTGCACTTGTTTATGTAGAGTCTGTCATTACAAAATCGGCTGTAAGCTCATTAGCTTTTCTTATGTCCACTCTTTTATCTTTGAAAAACTACAATGAAGATACAAATGAGCCAACACCGAGTATTTACAACGTGCAAAACCCTGACTGTGCTAGGTGCTGCAGTTGATAGAAGGATGTATAAAATATGAATTACTGCCATTGAGGAGAAGGATAACATGCACAGGAGGCCCAACACCCACAATTCCTACACCTGGAAGAGTGAGAAAACCCTCCCACTGTCCTCCCCACGTTCTTTCTCATCCAAGTTGAACTGTTTTGCAGTAAAAACAAAAGACCAATTGAGAATTCATCTGTATCAAGAGAGTATAAGTTCTCAAATGAGCTTTTGAAAAGACTTCACTTTCTGAATTAATTAATTAAAAAACTTCAAACAATTGCTGAGCTGTGTGGATTCTTCCAACTTGGAATGGTTAAGTCTGTTTTGCAGCTCAATTCTCAAGCCTCGGCTTCTTACCACCCTCTGGATGTGTTTGCCTGGCTGCCACTTCAGGCTCCAAGTCTTTAATGCTGAACTACGGGTCGTCTCCAGACCATAGTCTGGACTCGTGCACCTTGGTACACAGCACAACCATCATCATGGCCTCCCGGGTTTGAACTTTGGGTAACGCTCTGTATTTCCCCCTCCCGCTTAGGTTATTGGTAACTCCTTTGCCTCTTTCCTATACTCGCCGTGATGAGTTTACATTTTCACTCCCTTTTGGCTAGAAGTCACCCAACTATTCATCTTGCTAATACCATCTCTCTACTTGTATATATTCCACATATCTTTCACAGATTAAACTTCCCCAAATACACTTTTGCGGGCCACTCTCTCACTGGAATATGGCAGTAGCTTGCCATTGCCCAGGTTAAATTACAAAATTCTTTAATTGGCCTCTAAATCTTTACTAATCAAAAAAAGTCTCTACCTTCTCTTTTTTTCCTGTGTTTTTACTCAAACTCTCTGCCCCAACCAGACAGCCTCGCTACATGTGCCACAAACGTTCCTGTGTTTCTCTGCTGGGTGCTGGTGCTTCTCAATTCCTCATCCTACCCTTCTAACTTCTCTTCCCTTTCTTCCCAAATGCTGCTCACCATTCAAGGTTCAGCATGTGGCCCATCTCTTCCCTGAGGCTCCCATGACTCCATACTTTCAGGGAATATTTCTTTCCCTGAACTTCTGAGAGCTCATTGCCTCACTCAGTCCTTAATGCTCATTGTGGACACCTACACCATCTTCCTAACCATTCTGTTGATGAACTTAGCCTCTTTGCATTCCCATCACCTAGCACCTCATAAAAGACAGGCACAAATGGCTGTGTGTGATGACATTACTGAGTTATCTGTGAGTCCTCTTACTCCTTCCTCTGACACACCCCCTCCCCCGCTCCAGCACGTCAGACCAGTTCTCATCTCCTGGCCTCCAGTCCATGCCTTCCTTTCAACGCCCACTGTTTCTGCTCTCTTTCGGGCCCTCCTTCTTTTAGGATCTATCCACGCCCTTTTGCCCAAGTTGTGGCCCCAGGCCTGTGCCCACTGCAATCCACCCTGTGGGTCAACTGGATTAATGTTGCCATAACATTTCAGCATGCCATTTCCATTCCGAGGTTTTCAAAATACTCCATCTGCATTTATAATAAAATCTAGAAAAAATATATAAATATACACCAACATATCATAAAATCCCCACCTGAAACTAATGTTAACACTTTATGTTAATTTTACATGAGTAAAAAGAAAACAAACAAAATCATAGATGGAATAAATGACTCTGGGAGAAATTTTAAAATAAATACAGACTCCACAGCATATTCTCATTCTGATGCGTCTAGTGAAGCTTCTCTCTCACTACTTCCTCACACACGCCTTCTGTCCCAGTAAAATGGCTGCGTCAGTTTGTGCTGTGAACACCTTACAGTTTTCTGCTTTTGTAACTTTGACCGTGCTGCATCAAGCCCTACTAAAATATCCTTTTTAATATTTTCATATTTAGAGATTTCAGGCATTTTCAAGGCCTCAGTTCAAACCATCCTTCTTCATGAAGGACTGTCCTCGCAAAATCTATATCAGCTGCCATCGTACTCATTTTTTTGTTGTTGGAAAAAAACATTACCTCCTCACCTGGACTGTGTAGTTCTGGTAAAGAAGGGAATGTGTTTTCCAGGTCTCTTACAGAGCCCAATGTTGCAGTGAATCAAAATTGGTCAGTAAAAACTCTTAATTTAAAACCTCAGGTAAAGATTAGGAAATTGATTTTAAAAAGATAGAAAAACTAACTCCCTTAAATGCTGAGGGAAATGAAAATATGATGACAGGGGAGGTGAAAATAAAGACCCTAAAACTTGGAGAATTATCACATTTAAAGTGAAAAACCAGAAAACTGGGGGCCTGAAAGAAGAGCTAACCAAAGATGGTCTAAGCAGACATTTTTAGCAATTTTATGTACCTTTTGTCTTTTAAAATACTTTTAAGTATTAAAAATGAGCATTGTAAAGGCAACTGCCATTTTGGGAGCACTTCTAGTTTCTTCCCTCCCTGGGGAAATGGAAGGTTTATGCCCCTAACATCACAAGGAGCAAGCAATAAACTCCGAGGGGGAAGAGCAGTGAACCAGTAATGAGTCAGTAGAATGAACAAGTCTTACTGCCTATTTGGAAACAGCACATACCCTTTTAAACACCTTGAACAAAAAGGAGGAGCAGTGAAGCGGCTCTATGCTCATGAGCACAAATCCACTGCCATGTGAATGCCTCTGTACGTCTCACTTCTCCCACAAACAAAAAAGGAGGATCCTTCCCATCTAGGTGGAATTCATCACCTGACACCCGGTTCAACTACCTACATCTGGAAAACAAACCAAAGAAGCAGGATTCAAACAATTTGTGAGGGCTTAGCAGGCAACAGATAGGAAGAGACAACTTTGCAAACTCTTTCCTGTGCCACTTTTCAAATTTCCTTTGACCAGAGCTCATCTGAGCATGGGCGCTTCCAATCACTTCAAAGAGAGCTTGCTGTCCTGGTGAATATTTTGGGGCCATGGGCCAAGGCAAGTCATGGGCTAGCACTTTTATGCCGGGTCTTTGATCAAGCTTCCTTTAATCTCTTATCGTGGGTTTGATTCTCATTTTGCACCTTACCATCCGGACCTCTGTGCTGACTTTTCTTTGAAGTCAGCAGTAGACCTGCGGGTAGAAGGCCTGTAGGAAACAGACGCTCAGCTGTCAAACTGGTCGTAATTGTTTTTATATTTTGCGCTTTGTTTTGAATTACTCAACCTCTCCACGCAGCCACACCTGGGCTCTTCAGATGTTTCCTTATCTGTGTGTTTCTGACTCCTGAGTAAACAAATGTGGTTTAAAAACAAATAAAATTATTCACCTTAATAAGTAGACATAAAGAATGATGTAGTAAAGGCAAAAGTATTGACACAGAATGATGCTGACCACATGTTCTTAAAGTGAAAGAAACCGTATTTATGCTATTTTTAAAAATCGACATAAAAGCACAGAAAGTCTAAAAGACATAGCAGTTACATCTGGTTGGAGGATTATGAGTGTGTTTAATTTTGTATTAGTTGCTTATCTTTATTTTCCAATTTGTATTAGATGAACATGCACTGCTTTTGCAATAAGAAAAAAAGCATTTTTAATTTAAGAAAATAGTCACATAAAGACAAGAAAAGTAATCTTCTATTAATAATGAGCTTATTTCTTATGAATGACAATTCCAAATGTTCGAGGCTGATAATACATGACACACCATTTTTTTTCCTAACTAATCTTCTTGTAACATTCTCCTAACTTGCTTGACTATAGGAAATTTAAAACAAGCTCAACTACCATCCGGGAAGTTATTAATTACTGTATTCATTACCAAGGGTCTATTGTGTGGGAATGGATTAGAAGATGCTGTAGAAGCTGGGAAAATGTTTGGGGTCCTTAAATCAGGCAGACCGGTTTTGAATCCCTGAGCTTCACCACTTTTTACTTGTACAAGATTAAGTAATGTCCCCAAGATCAAGCAGCTAGTAAATGATGGAGTCACTGGCCTTGCACGTAGGCTCCCAGGGCCCCAGGTTCACCACCCTCTTCCCTCGGTATTTTGGATAGACCAGGTGGGGGTATGTGAGAAGCAGCGACTTGCATTCTTTCCCTTTCTTCTTCTTTTTCCACTTCTTCTCAGTTACCCTCTATTTTGCCCTTGCCCTCTCCCCTCTCTGCCACTCTGTAACCACAGCTTCCCAACTTTATCACCAGCAACAAGTCTCGGGTCAAAGGTAAGAGAAAGTATCAGGGCTTGGAAGGTCTGTGGTGGCCAG